GCAGAGGATAATGCGAGGCCACACCTTCATTGACGACGACACTCAGCCTTTCTAGTGTTCTGGCTGCCGGCGCGAGCCATCCTAACACAGGATAATGAAATGACGGTATCGTGGCCACCCGCGAACGGAGGTTACGATACGTGAAGCCAGCAAGTGATTCATTCAACGCCGACTGGGTTATGATTGATTCACTGCCTTCTGAATCGACAAGACAAACGAGATTATTTTCTGTTTGAGTCAGCAACATAGCAAAGTCTAACATACGAAATCGGCTAGCGAAATTGCTTCAACGTCATCTTTGCCTTGGCAAGAGATGTACGCGCTTCAATCGTGTGGTTAGTCTTGTCTTGTTGTCTCCTGCATTGGTGCGCGACTCCTCATTCCTCTACCTTTCTCGTTCTGCCACCTTTACCTCTCCCGTTCTGCCACCCTGACCTTTCCAGAGCTTGAGAACAAATCGGCGCACACCAGGTGCGGCTACTCGTGGTCGTCTTAAATAGTCGAACGAAACCTAGCATGAGTTATTATTTGATCAAAGGATTTGGTAGGATCGAGGCAGACAGGCTTCATGGGACAACTGATTGGATGGTCATGAGACAAGCTCCTGTAGAAGAACAATTTCATGATCTCACCCTGGCATTGCTTACACCTTGCCTTGCCGCATGAAACGCTCAATGCAGTCGCATACTCATCAACCATTGAAGTTGGTACTTCTCAAGCTAGTAACGACCTTTTCAGGGCTACAGCCAAACCGTCTCTGCAGCTCAGATCGCAGCCAAGCAATATACCGTTCCCCAGAAACATCGATGGATTCCTGGCAGAAGTCCGTCGATCTTGGCAGGAATCTTCTGCTCACATGAGACCATCTTGGCTGCTTGATATGAGGGTGCCTGGCAATGTCGTGGACTTCGGATTCAAGATCTACAATCGATTGAGCTTGGCCGAGAAAGAGTCGTACGATAAGGCTGTGAGTAAATTTGTCGACGCCGGCTACTGGGTGCCGATCGATGACGATGCTGTAATCCGTGACACCGCTGCTCCAAAGGTGGTCAGCTTCCCTGTTAAGCAGGTTGACGACTCCGTACCTGACGGTCCTACTAAAGTAACCAGTTTCAAAGTTAGACCGGTCATTCAGGCCGTTGGAGTCAATCGTGTTATCAAGGCTGGAGGGGCTAAAAAAGCTTCCTACTCCGGCGACTCTGTTCCTGAGATCCTACTGGGTCTCCGGTTAAATTTTTCTCGTGCTGGAGAAGGTCACTTAGGCCTTCTCTCCCTCGATGTTGGTAAAGCTTTTTATCGCTTCCAGCTGATGGCACGGTCAGATTCAAATGGAGATGCAGTGTCATCCCTTGGTTACCTCTATATCCGAGGCGCAGGCCGATGGTATCGATGCGATAGGCTTGCATTCGGACTTCTGCACGGTCCGGCTTCGCTCCAATCCGGCATGTCTACTCTTCTCCGTCTCGCCGGGAAACTGGAACCTAGCCTCGCAGAGTTGCCAGTTTACAGCTTCTATGATGATATATTGGTTCTTATTCCTATCAATAAGGTTCCGCGCTATCTCTCTACTATTTTACCTCTAGCTGAACGGGTCGGTTTGGTTATCCCTTCCGATCAAATCGCTCTTCTTAGCGATGCCGCACATAGTGTCTGCGGCACTACCTGTGATGCTGGGTGGGGTCTACGTCTCGGCAATCTGATGCGCGTTAGGCGGAATAGCCTTCACATCTGTGTTTGGTCAAGAAGATCGACTTCGTCAGAAGTTTGAACTTGTAGCGGGCAAGACCACCCGGCGAGATGTGCGCAGCTTACTGGATTATCTCAGCCGGGAATATTCTTCGTCTGCATCCAGTGCGAGCCTTAGCGTCTTCAGC